ATATGTTATGTCGCTATGGAATGACTATATTCTATACTATGTCATGTCATATCTATGCTATGTTATGTTGCCATTCAATGTCCACCTGTCGTGTAGGTAATGTTACGCTAGGTATTTTAAACATGTTATGTCGCTATGCTATGCTCTGGATGGAGCGGGTCCTGGACTATACCCGATTAGTCTTTGAAAGCCGTCCGGGTGTTCGGCTCTGCTGTCACCTGTGAAGTGCGTGTTCTTCTGGCCGATATTGCCCGGTAAGGCCCAAATCTGTAATTTCTTGTTATGCAGCATAACGCTTTTGCGGATTGCTTCAAAAACAGCTGTCGTTAAGGAAACCATAAACAGTTTGTCTTTGTCGCGCAACGATTGCAGTGCCCCAGCACATGTAGCTGTAAGTTCCTGACGAATGGTTTTGATGCTAACGGTGCAAAAAAAAGCGTTTCGAAACTTCCGAGCATTTGTGTCTTACACTATCCTCCTCAAGATTAGATGATTGAGACCATTCAGATGGATTTTTCTTCCAATTCACACCCCAAACGTTTCATTTTGTAATGACATCACTTAGAGTTGTTTAGACGTATGTAACAAGACCCATATATTATGAATCTATTTGTTCCAATGATGCCATTCAGTGATTATGCCGCATTCGAAACCACACAGCCTTGACAGCTTATTCAATCTCCGTCTAATTGCCATTCTTAGGTCAAGTCTACGTTCTCCGAATCACTGCTGCCAATATTTTTACTTTATTCTATGACGGTTCAAACAGTGGTTAAAGAGCATCGACTTCTACGAAGTGCCTGATACCTTTGGCAATAAAACATACTTAAGGTCTCCTGTATCCTGAGCGTAAAATCTTAGATAATGTATTGGATATTTTATTATTATACGTTTTTTGATAAGAGAATATGTTATTTGAAATTCTTTGATAAGAGAATATTATGGAAAATAAACGACCGTACTCTTTCTTTTCGTTATCCTTTTTCTTTTCTTTTCTGTTTTTTTTTTTTTTTTTTTTGAAAGCAAGCAACCCTTTACCTTTTTATGTTAGCAATTAAACAAAATGTTAAGAATTTATTAAACAAAGTACACATTGTCATGTTCACAATGGCAGATCAAAAATGTGAAAAGTTAAGAAAAATGTCTTTTAAAGCTATCGAACCGTAAAAAAATTTAAATCACGTCCTCCTTAATTTCTCTGCAAACTTTAATCTCGCAGCTCCTCATTATTGAATAAAATACTCATTACTCGAATATTTGCATTTATTGCTTGAACTCAAACAAAACAAATTTACCCCAAACCCACGTATCGCAAATATGTAAGTTCAAAACTTAAGAAATTTGGTTCGCCTTAAAGCAATTATGAAGCGTAAAATGTTTATTTTTATATACTAAAGTTTAATATTTTAATGCCACTTTTCTACACTTTCTACATGAATGAATTTCATAACGGTGATAAAATTAGAATAAAAATAGCGTCAGAGGAAGTTGCTTGAACTGTACGCCTCAAAATGAAATAACTACTTAAACAGTGGCGTTAAAAGTGAAAGGAAACTACGTTCTATATAGCATATCTTAACGCAATATCTGAAAGTATTCAATGAGCTATGTATTTTGTGTTTTCTCTTATCCTTTTTGATTAGGAGCCATAAATAAAAAAGACAACTTCCTTTCACTCAGTCAAAGAAATCTTATTTTTACCATCAACTATCCTTTTAAGCTTTATTTACGATGATTTTAATAGTTAAAAAAATGTTTTTTTTTGGTAGGAAAGCAGAATAATAAAAACATTGAGGAATTAAAAACAGTTTTTTCATTTGCTTTTGTAATCTGATAGCATCGATCCAGTTATTCGAAAGTCCCGATTACAACTCTGCATTAAGGATACGATGTATATTTGACGATTTATCTCTACCATTTAAAAAGTTGTAGAATATCTTTAGAATACGGAAATAAGTATTTAGAGGACAGGCGTTAAAAATTATAATAGAAAACAGGAACAGAAGGAAATGCATAGCATACAAGAAACGTGTAAAAATGAGGAAGGAAAGTTTCATTTTAGACAGTCTGGTGAATATGAATCATGGACGGTACTTAGCATAGTGAACTATTATTATCCAGATACCCACTATAAGCAGCCTGACAATTAGGACTGCAGAAAATAAGGTTGCACAGACTTTTAGGGATAAAGACAACGCAAAAACTCAACTATGCTATCACAGGGATAAGGACCACAGACCTGAAAGTGCTACCTGGACGTTCCACCATTTAATCATGAGGGCAATAATTTCAAGAAAGGGAAGTTTCTGTAACGTATTCAAAGGTTACGTTATTTAAATATGCAAAGCCTACGGGGTTATCTGCCTTAGGAGAAGATGCCTTTGTGGCGCATTTTCAAGAGGAACTGGCTCGCATTTACTTAGGGTAAACTACGAGAGCAACCATGCAGTCAGCCCATTCGCCTTGGTTCGAATCCTTCTCCAATTACTAGTATTCAGCAATCTTTACTACTCAGAGCTGCGTATTCCGAGGAGGTTACTGGGAAAATGTTTACTTTTTTCCCGAAAGCAGATCTTTGTTCTCTTCAAAATGCCCAATGTTTTCAAAACGCCTACTTTATCTAAATATGCTGTGTCTTCATAATTACTTTGTCATAGTTTCTGGAACAATGCTAATATATCCCTATTCCTGTTCTCAGCAAATGGAAGAGTTGGCTAATTGGGAATTTTGAGACGTTCCTCATGCAAAACGTAAATGAGAATGAGCTGATATTAAAAAGACGTCAAGAAAGTATGCATCCTCTGTAGGCGTAACGGATTCTATAACTTAACAGTGTTCATTGCGTTAATTAAATACATAAAATAATTCCATGATTCTATACAGTGGCTATTATGATCTACTTGGATATTGTAGATAACGGCTATCATAATCATTCTAACCACATAAAAATCTTCAAGGGACATTTATTGCCAAGATCTGAGAGCTAAAATCTTCTTCTATGGTCATCTGGAGTTGATTATATGAGCTAGTATTACTTATTTCCGAAAGACTGTTGAGATTGCGCTTTACAAGGAGAGAAATATGTTCCTTTTATTCTGCGCTTGACGCACCCGTCTTTAAACTGAAAGATCAAGAGTTAAAAATGCCGTCTGTGATATCTTTGGGATGATAACCAAGTGACTGTAAGCAGATTATTTTGTAAATTTTTGATCGCATTCAGTCGCTTGGGAAAAGATTTCTTAAAGTTAATCTCGATCATAAAAAGCGGTCTTCATACATACGCATAATACTGGAGATTTTTTTCCTCCTCTCAACTTTTTCGCGGGGTCCAACATAAGAAAACTTGTCCATCGCAGACTGTTCATCCATATTAATTCTGTGGTTTCGTGTTATACCTGGAATAACATCCCATCGGGATGGAGAGTAGAGGAAAAGGAACTTGACGTCGAGTTGTCATGACGACCAGGAAAGAAGAGGGCTGGAGGTGATGCCGTAGGGGGGATGACAAGAGGAAGCTCTTCCACATCAGGGATTGCCACGCATCGCTTCCGTAAATCTGTTTCTCTTTCCGGTTTGCGGGCTCTCCTCGAACAACACAAGCCTACTCAATGCATGAATCAGAAAAGCTCACGCCGACATCTCTCCATGACTTTCGTGGATTTTACGGGATGACTTTTTCCTTCTGTCCTCTGGGTGATTTTGTTTATTTGGTTTTGCATACTTCTGACAACCCGCATAAACTTGACATATTTCTCTTCATTGTGGGCATTTATTTTGAGAATTGTCAGCATTATGCCTTCCTGCCTCAATCAAATACCGACACTATCGCTTTTGTAGTTTATTCTTTTCCTAGAAAATATTACAACTTACATGGTAATTAAGCTACGTTAACGCAAATTATTGAGATTAATAGAAAGATACATTTTCATTTTTGGTAATAAAATCCAATTGTTGAAGAAAGAATCTGTATCATAATAGAAGACAGCATTCATTAAAAAATAAAAATTTTTGTACAGTTGCAAAGGTCGGAAATAGAAAAGTAATCACTCTAGACTAATATTACATCTTATTGGTTTTGTTGATATGTCTTAGATTGGGATCACTTTCAGATTAGGGGCATTATGCAGCAGTAATGGCCAGATACCTTTTATCGTTTAAGGTATTTAAAAATGCTCTTTGAGCCCTTGCATGTGTTACGACCAGCAACATGATGTAATGGTGTTAATGATAGCAGAGTAATTTATATCACCCTCCCAACATTGGTAATCTGCCTGGAGTCCTTGATAATCTTTTATCTGGAAATACTCTACTTCTGGGTGATTTAAATGCTAAGCACCCAGCATGGGGTTGCTCTTCCCAGAACCAGAGAGGATTTAAACTTCTTCATTCTGTTGATGACTCAGGTTTCATGATCCTTAATGATGGTACTCCAACACACTCTTCATATAGCTATAACACGTCTGAAGCCCTTGACCTGTCTATAGTAAGCCCCACTATCTTTCCAAATTGCACCTGGACAGTTATGAAGAATATTGGGAGTGACCATTCTCCAATATTAATTGAAATAAAGAAGAAACAGTGTACTTTCCTTAATCGTAAAAAATATTGGAATTATGCTAAGGAAGACTGGAAGGCATTTGGTGGTCTTGTTGACAACCTGGCTGAACCTAGCATTCTTTAAAGTGACCTTGATACTAATTGGATTACTTTTAAGCAAGGCGTCCCCCAGGGTTCTGTGTTGAGCCCAATTTTTTTCTGCCTGTATTTGGCTGAAATTGAGAAAATTATATCAAGGAGATGTGAGGTTGGTCTATTTTCAGATGATATTGCCCTTTGGAGGTCTGGCGCAGATGTGAGTTCATTTGAGACCAATATAAATTTTATCCTTGAAGAAGTGTAGAAATTCTCGAAAGACCACAAATTGAGTTTTAATCCAACTAAATCTATTGTTAGTTTTTTTTACCACCAATAAGATTTATAATTATCATCCAAAGGTTTTTATGGATAATTTGCATCTTACATATGACAAACATCCCAAATATTTCGGCTTCGTTCTCGATCCAGAGATCACCAGTAACAAACATGTGGATGCGCTGGTTTTTAAAGGCAGAAAACGCCTAAACATTCTGAAGTATATCTCGGGACGTGATTGGGGATCCGATGCCTGCACTTTGAGAACTACTTACTTAGCTATCATACGACCTATTTTGGAATACGGTTTCCCCGTTTACTGTTGTGCCTCTTCCACCAACCTCCAGAAATTGGAAAGAGTCCAACTCAGTGCTTCTCGCATTATAACTGGATTGCGCAACAGTTGCCCGAATAAAATTGCGTTGTATGAAACAGATCTTCAACCCCTCAGTCTAAGAAGAAATGCAGACCTCGTAAAATATTATAATAAACTTCTCAGTTACGGCTCCCAGAATAGAACTTCAGAATTTCTGCAGCACAGGAGTAATAACCAAAGACTTAAGAATAATAGTCCACTTTGTCAAATTGAGTATACTGGTATAATTGACCGTAATGTTGAGCAGCATTCCTTGAAACAATGTTTAGATCCGTCTGAGGGACTCCCTGGAGTCGGTTTCCATGCGGAACTTTCGTCTCGAGTTTCCAAGAAAAATGATATTCCGGCCCTGTTACGACAATCTGCCTTGGAACTGTACATGCAATTCCCGCTGAAGCTACCCTCATCTATACTGATGGGAGTAAAAGCGAGGACTCGCTCCGGTAGTGGTGTTGTCATTAAATACACAAATGGAAATATCGTTAAAATAAAGAAAAGAAATTCTGACTTCAGTTCGGTTTTTAAAAGTGAGCTTATAGCCATCGAAGAGGGACTAAATGCTGTTTTTTACTTTACAGATCTTAAGGCAGTATGGATTTTGTCTGACAGTCGTAGCGCTATCAAATACCTTTCAAATTGGCAAAGAGCTGGTGATAGGGCTGGAACCGCAATTCTTAGCAAACTTAGGCAGGTCTCGTCACTCTGTGAAGTGCATCTTCAGTGGATTCCTTCCCATGTTGCTATATGGGGGAATGAAATGGCAGATATTCTGGCGAGGGAGGCTTCTGAAGAACCTTTGCCAATTATCAATTCACTGACATATCTTGAACTGCATTCCATTAGAAGACATGCTGACAGGCAGATTTGGCTCGTTCCCCCGAGTCATCCCTGGTATCAAGCTGGTTGTCCTGGAAGATCCCTTGCTATGGATTGCGAAGATGTGTTCAGACAACACTTTCCCCATTCTTCAGTGGACACTTGGGGGGACTTACTTTTGAGAGTGGTGTCAAGATGCACCCAATTTGTTCTAAGTGTCACAATGCACCCGCATCACCGGCACATACACTTGAGTGCCTGGAGTTGTCTCTTGTGGACCTTTACGGGTCTCCTAAGCTTGTTTTTTGATTTTCTAAAGGTGAATGAACTCGTGGACCTCGTCTAGTATATTCCTAGGCATGGAGATTAGTAACAACAACAACAACAGAGTGAAACTCTCGCAGTTATCAGAATTTCGAAACTATAGCGTTAAATTTATGCACAGCGGATTACAATGCAACATTTCATTAGGAGAACAGAAAAGCACGAGCATACATCACAGAAATCATTACATTCTAGAGAAGCTCTTCCGGGTAATATATTTCAACGAGTTCAGAATGATCCTTGTTTGTATACTAGACAAGATAAAGAAGGATTTGTATATGTTAGTGTACGTGTTGAAGATATGGTCATTGCAAGAAGCGCGAAAGATTAATCTTGCGGGCAAGAAAGTTATTTCAGTTTTTTAGTGTAAAATAAAACTCATTTTTTTTCTATACAAGAAATAAACTTTAATCAGTCAAATACCTTCCATTCCGTTAGATGACCTTTTGCCGCCTTTCTGGTTACTTCATGATTCCACGCTTATCGAACTATGGTCTTTATCAGCAAAAACCTCAACCAACTGTGATTTGAGGTCATCTTTATAACTGAAATTTTTACCATTTAAGAAGTTTGTAAACTTCGAAATAAATTTTGATCCGATTGTGCAAGGTGGCGGCAATATGGGAGGTTCGATATCATTTCACAGACAAGATCCAATAATTTCGTACGTGTTGCTAAAGATATATGGGTTCTGGAATTGTCGTGGTGAAATTGGATTCATTTGCGATTTTGATTCTGGTATTTTCTCTTTGATTGCTTCCTCCAATTTCAAAAGTTATTGGCAGTAAGCATCTGAGTTGATCATTTGGTTACTTGGAAGCAGCTCAAAATATACAACACCTTTGCAATCCCACGAAATTGACAGCATGATCTTTTCTGATGCAATTTATCAGCAAAAATCGATAGGATTTTTGCTGATTCGTCATACCTGGACCGAGATCGTTTTCAATTAGTGTTATCATAAAAACCATCCATTTTTCATGATCAGTGATAATTCTTTTCAAAAGAGGGTCGATCACATTTCGTTTGAAATGCGTATCGCAAATATCCATACGTTAAGTGAATTTCTTTCAATTCATGTGAAGCCCAAATATCGAGCTTTTTAACGAGCTGAAGACATCTTACGTAATTTTTAATTGTTGTGTGTGATACATATAAACTTTCTGCAATCTCTCGCACATTTGTATGATGATTTGATTCAATTATGGCTATAATTTTGTTATGTTATTTTGTTGTTTTGTAAAGTTGGCAACCTTCAAGTGAAAAATCTCCAGAATGAATTTTTTTAAACTAATTATGACACATACGTTCTGTAAAGCAATCAACACCATGAACTTCAAATATTTCTCTGTGAGTCTCAGCCGCTCTCCGGCCCATATGAAACTAAAGAAATAAAATATGCTGAAAGTGTTTATTTTCGAACCCCATGTTAAAATCGATCGTAAACTAAGAGTTGTAAACTAAAATACATGAGATTTTTTCTATAGCAATCTAAAAGTGTCAATTGCCATATCTCAAAAAAAAAAAGTTATCAGATTTACAGAACAAACGTGACAACGTGACGCTATCTATTTGTACAAACCGAAATTACTTTCCTGACAACCCAAATATTTGAAAATTTTGGAAACGAAAACTAGTAAACATTTTACTATGAAAATGTATGAAGTCTTCATTAGTCTTATATAGTATTTTACTTAGGCATACTTATTGACACATTTTACTTTACTTAGGCATATAGCATTTTGAACGTGACAGTGATAGACTCTCCTATATAGACCAATAAAGTTTTTTTAGGTTCTTATGAATCCTTATTCTAAAGAAATCGCAATTGATTTCAGTGAATTTTGTAATGAATGTAACCATAGTTGTCCTTCGGTACCAATAACCTGAGTCTGTAGAGACATTAGGTTATTTTGAAGCAGGAGACATGAAAAATGATGAATACCCTCGCCGGGACTCGAACCTGGATCTCTCGAATACGCGCCCAGTGTGCTACCGTTACGTCACGAAGGCATGCAGAAAGGAGGAAGAAAATACCTTACAAGTCGGTGCTCGGTTATTGATCGGATCAGTCTTCAGTGTAATGTGATTTATGAATCCACAAATGTGATTTATGAATTTTGTCCTCAGCGTAGATAATATGACTTCAAAAATAAATTTTTCATTTGTAATATTTCTTGTAGTTTCAAAGGTTGAACTGAACCATCTTAAGGTACGAAGGTAATAAAGAAGGCACTTGGAAAAGAAGCTTCTGTCCTTAATATCAATACTTTAAGCATCTATGCTTAAGAATTTGAGTATGACAAAGAAGAAATTAAAATTAAGATAAACAGGTTAAGGAATTAAAAAAGACAGCTTTAGTGATATATTTGGAAAAGTAACCTAAATATTACCTGCATCAATGCACATACTAATTCTAAATGCAGATGAACGCATCTTTAGAATTTACTGCGGATTAAAATAATTTCTGCACAGAAGAATAATGAGTCAAAGTACTACAGATAAATCATTCACGTATCTATCACATTTCTCCTCGTGATTCTGAAAATTTAGTGCCAAATACAGTGTGAAAGGCATATGTTATTTCAAGCTAATATTTTAGAATTATTCATACATCGATAAATTCCTTATTTATTATTATAATATTTCTGTCTCTGTTACGGATTGGGACGTCGATCTGTTACCATATTACGAGTATCTCATTCATTAAATGGTTTTGAAATAAAGTAATTCTTGCGTTACGAATTAAAAATTTAAGCTTTCATTTCGCTTACATAATACGTTAGAAAAAATGATCAATAAATGAGGGAAAAAAGATTGATCATTGGTTTTTGCACTTCGCGAGAAGAATATACTTCACTCCACGAAGAGATAACCTTATTAAGTAACAAAAATGACACAGAGTTGTGATGTATTCTACGTCGAGCAAAGTTATTCGCAATTGAAGACGTTATCGATATAAGGAAAAGAATCATTTCGATAGGTATAAAAATTATTAGCTGTAATTTTAAATTATAGCTTTAGAACGTATAATCTGTAATATCAAGATGTAATTTTGCCTGCATTATGGGTTACTAAATCATTTACCAGAATAGCAAAAACATTATATAGAGTTGATTCAATACCCATTATGATGAACTCTTTTTGTACTGAAATTTTTGTACTTTTAATACTGAAATGTGGACTAATACTTAGTTTGTAAATGTCTTAATGTGCGATATACGAAGCTTTGCGATGTAACACACATACAATACGATTCTTTTTAATTACGAATGTATGTATATTCATTCGTCCAAGAGTCTTAAAAACCGGGAACATCAGGCTTTAACTTTTTAGTGGACATTTAGAGGAGAGATAGCGCGATATAGCTTTATGTGATAACTTTGTAGAGCGGTGTAGAGTGCCACTGAGAATTGAACTGCGGGCCAAATCTGGCACGCGTGCCGTAGGTTGCCGACGCCTGATCTGTTGCATTGCAAAGAATATAAGATCTAACCAATAAAACTGAATTCTTCGTTTGGTAATTTAAATATTTTGTAAGATAATTTAGGTTAAAATAACACGCCGAATAACGACTATTGGAGAAGTTAAAGACAAAGAATTAACGTAATACTTATAAATTTTGCAGAACTAGTTTCTCTGGTTTAAATACAGGACCATCGAAACTAATCCTGCAAAATTTACAAATATTACACCGTTTCTTGTTGTTTAACTTCTACAATAATTATGTAAGAACTCTTTAATTTCCAATAGATCTAAAAGCTGGAAACTCAAATAACATTCAACATTTTTTAGAGAGATTTGAAGAATATATCCGTGTCATCAAGATTTTAAGAGCTAATAAGAAGATTTTTTTTTTAATTATTTTAATCATACATGTGCAGTTGTAACTATTTTATTAAATGAAAAACTTATAACCGTTTTTTGTTGTATTAATACTATCATTTTATTTTAAAAAGTTAATGTTTCAATAAATTGAAGAATAATTATTATTTTATATTTTGCCTTCAAAGTTTAATTTGAACATAATTTTAATTTAAACATTAAATTTTAATTTAAAGAGTAAAGCCTGGAAACCGTTTACCAGTGACATAAAATATATTTTGTGCACTAAAATTTCAATATTCTGAATATATCAACTCATTGCCAATCGACTTGAAACAGAACCCTTCTTAAATTTTGATCCCAAGTCCACACTAAGTTCTTGAGGAATCCATGATAAAAAGACATTTGATAAGATATCAATAGTATGCTAAATTTCTCGAGGTTATTTAGAATGTATAAAAGCACAAAAGCGGACGTTTACATTCCTTTATGAATTTTGAAAACACACATCCAGTGTCATTTCTAAACTTCTGAGCGAAGTTACTCTAATTAACTGGCTTACTCCAATAAATATCTATGCCTACGGAAAGTGCAACTCTGTTAAAATAATTTTGCTTCTAATCTTATCAAAATTTACTTTTACAGCTAACGAAAACCTATAAGCCCCTTCTCAAGAGCAGACAAAGTTATTTTAACGATAATTTAAATTTTCTCAAATCCTCTCACTTTCCGCGGGCTTTGTTAAAGAAATCAAGACAGTAGAGTTTAAAAAAAAATCCTTTTTAAGCTTACAAACCCTATTCTTGTGAAGACTTAACACGACTTTCCTATCCTTTTAAGCAAGCATGAAAAATCGGCCGGTCTATTGTATGGGGCGGCTCGGCGTATTTAAATGAGAACGGTCTGGAAAAGTGTTTACTATGCAAATTGGAGACCGTCGCCATACATCAGAAGTTGAAGGACTAAGTTTCGGTTAAGCCAGCTTAAAGCGCCTTTTCAGGCACCAGTGTGAAGATACATCACTCTGTCCTTTTATGTGGGAGTTATAAGACGCGAGTAAATAGCCGGGTATTAAGAAATAAGGTCACTAGTATTTAAATTTAAAATATAATATGCCAAAGGAGTTAAAGAAATCTGGACACAAACAAAGAGAGGTTTCCTGAAATTGTATGCTTTTGCAATTTAATCTTCCAGACG